TTTACTTAATTAATTTATTCACAAATTATTAGAACAACATTGTTTTATCAATGTTTTCAAAATAATTCGAATTTACAATTAACCAAATATTGTATTGCATTGATATTTTTAATTTTGTGTTCAATATGTATCTAATATTCATTATCGATAATATCGTTATCGCTGAATTTCATTGCTAAATATTTTATTATTGAAAGTATTATAATAATAATCATTACAAATTATTACCTATAGTTTTGTTAAGATATTATATTACCATGGTTTTTCTATTGATTTAAATTAAATAAACACAAAATAGTTTTATTTTGTATGAAAATCATTCTGCATATATAAACAAAAATTTAACGAACATATTACAGTATAGGTACTACCGTACGTAATGATTGCCACTTCCAACGAAAATATTTTTGTGAGAAGCAATAACTGTATAGCAACAACGATAAAAATGAAGTTGAAATAGCTGATGATCATCGGATTGTGTATTTATTCAACATTTTCAACTCACAAATATCAAGATAAATTATTAAATTTTGGAAAATGTCTGTCATAATTTCTATTGCTTTTGATGACAAAAAACTCGGGTAATTTACCTCATCGCTGATAATGGAATCGAAGATACGCATTCTATTCCAGCTTGGAAAAGGGTACTTTGTGGAAAACAATTTTATTAGTTACGGTATTATGTTACACATTAATATTCAAATTATATTTACTTCTCCGACAAGCATTTTGTATATTAAAATCCCAAAGGCCCACCAATCGACACTTCGTGTGTACGATGTATCTATTAGGATTTCTGGCGCTACGAATTCAGCAGTCCCACAAAATGATGCTGTTCGATCGCCAAATCCTATATTCATCTTGCATAAACCGTAGTCGGCAATTTTTATATAGCCGTCCGTTGACATAATTAAATTATTCAATTTTATATCGCTAACCAATAATAAACGCACCATATTAACAACAATGTAATATGTAAAAATGATATTTAACATTGTACTAACCGATAAACGATGTTGTGTTCGTGTAAATACGTGACACCTAGCACCACACATGCGGCATAGAACACGGCTTTTGGTTCCGTAAATGCTCCTTCATTTTCTATATGCCAATTTAAATCGCCGCCCGCAGCGTATTCCACGACAAAACAAGCATAATCCTGTGACCAATAAACCAATTAATTTCAAAATACAAATAAATAACTAAATTTTAGTACACTTACGTTTGTCTGAAAACATGAGAACAAGTTTACGAGAAACGGGTTGGGGTTATTATTTACGACTTCAAATATCTTTTTTTCGGAGTATAATGACTCTACTGATTTGCTAGAAGTTATGATTTTTGATTTATGGATGCTTTTTATGGCAACATACCTGTTCGATAATTTGTGTTGACATAATGTTACCTAATATGAATGGAAAGCAAATGAAACACGAATTACTTATTTATACAATAATTATTAATAATAATAAATATTACTTTTCTAAAACTCCCTTTACCCAGGACGCCAACAAGTGTGAAATCGTCCATTGACGGTGTTTCATCCGCCTTGGAACTTTCTAAATCATTTATACTTTCTATAGCTATAACTTCTTCAACTAAATCTTTAACTACACAATCAACCACTGTTTCCCCTACAACTTCTTCAATAATATATTGTATGACTTCTTCAACCACAACATCTATAGCCTCTTCGAAAATATGTTCAACAGCTTCAGTTCCTAACTCTACAACTGCACGTTCTTCTAAATTAGTATCGAAATATTAGTCAGGTTTTTTTTGAAATAGCAATTCCATACAAATTATAAATAGTAATTAGAAATCTGAATTCCTAGTTTTCGATTTAAAATATGTATTAACTCTTTAAAGTTAAAAAATAGATAGATCGATAAAAAAAAAATTAAGTTGTTTAATTTAATTTATAATTTCCACTTATAATATAAAATCCAAAATATAATATTATGTTATTACCTGAAATAGAACTATTTATTGAATTATTAACAGAAGAACGCGAGCGAACCTGAAAATAATATGTCATAATTAGATTAAGCTAATATTTCTTATTAGATTAACCCAACAAAACCAAAATAAATTTTATTAAAAACGATTGTTACACTTACTTTCTTAGGAACACAGCATGTCACCATTCTACGAAGAAAACGGAATCCTTTTGTTAAGCCAACAATTAATCCACACACATTTGATACGATATGTATTACTTTGTACTTAACAAATATAAACTGTTATAGAAATAAGCGTGAATTAATATTTGGTGTAGAAAGAACGATCTAACTAATTTGACGATATTTCAAAATAAATGTTTATTTCCAAAACTAGTATGAAACATTATAAAGAAACATTGAGTTGAATATCTAGCAACAAAAATATTTCACTAGAAAATCATTTTTATAATTGAACATTATAATATTAAATACAATTTTAATTTTAAATAGTAGGTAATAAAATAATGTTTTGCAAACCTATAATTTCATATTTATTAATTTTTTTAACTAATTAAAAATGTCAGATTCTAAGCGAAGCGAGGAATCTAATGGTTTTACAAAGATTTTTTTTTATTTTTTTTTTTTTTTATCTGCATACACAATTTCTACCTGAAATCTTGATCCGATGTATTAAGTGTAGCACTTTTTCTGAAAGGAAATATAGGGAAAAATAGAGAAATAACGTAAGAAAATCGTGAAATTTACGAAAATA